TTTGGTCATTTTACCTAATTTCGCGTTTTAGCTTAGAATTTAATTATAGAATCAGTTATTTGAAGTGTTATTTACATTATGAAACTGAATTGAATAGATTTGGGCCATTTGGAGTCGGATACTCGTGGAAAAGGTGTGGTTTCGAGTTGATTTTGAGCCGGTTCGAGGTAAGTGGCTTGTCTAACCTTGTGTGGGGGACCTTTCCCCTTAGGATTGATATTGTGGTAATTGAAATGCCTCATACGTGAGGTGACGAGCGCGTACTTGTGCTAATTGTTGGAAATCCGGTTTTTCTTTAAAAATAGCCTTGAATTGTGTTCTTTTTTTTTTTTGCTTACACTGTTTGGACATTAATCCTACTGTAGGTTAGAGAAACATGTCTACTTGACTAAATTGCTCTCTTTACCTTAACTGCCTTAATTGTATTACGTGAATCATGCTAGGTTAGGATTTCCTGCTTCACTTTGATATGAAATCGATTGGATTGAATTCTTGTTGTTGATGTGTATTTAGTTTGGAACTACGGAACGGTATTCCGGGAGATCCCCCTCCACTTTTACTCTGGGACTACAGGACGGTATCCCGGGAGCTCCCCTGTATGTTTACTTTGGGACTACAGAATTGCATTCATAGAGATCCCCCTGCATATTTATGAGTTGGACTACAGGACTGCACCCCGGAGATCCACTGGATATGACATTTATATTTGGGGACTACAGGACGGTATCCTGGGAGATCCCCGGTTGTTATTTTGGAGCTGAGTTGCGTTCTTTTACTGTATTTTACTTGCCTTGTAATAATTGTTGTTGTCCTTCATATCTTGTGTTATTTAATCACACTATCATTTCACATTGTTAAACTTTATATCATATTTAACCTCAGTAGGGCCCTGACCTTCCTCGTCACTACCCAACCGAGGTTAGGCTTGGCACTTACTGAGTACCGCTGTGGTGTACTCATGCCCTTCCTGCGCATATTTTTCATGTGCAGATCTAGGTACCACTGCACAGGCTTACCATCCTTGAGGCAGGGAGAGCTTTTGGAGACTTCGAGGTACATCTGCCGCGTCCGCAGACCGAAGAGTCTCCATCTTTATTCTATCTTGTAGTATTAGCCCTTCTATTATACTGTTGATGTAGACATTCCGGAGTTAGAGCATTTTTACTATATTTCTCTCAGCATGTGTTCTCGTGAGTTTTCGGGTTTTGGGATAGTATTGTAGAAGTTTGAGATATTGTGTTGTATGTGTCGAGTGGCATTTTACATTTCATTTCCATTTTGTTAAATCTTGGCTTTAAGTTATAATTTTCGCAAGGTTTCGATTGTTTTTCCGCACTTGTTAGGCTTACCTAGTCGTAGGGACTAGGTGCCGTCACGACAGTTCACGGAGGGCGAACTGGGGTCGTGACATTACTGCTTCGCAAAAGCGAAGCTCTCAGTTCCCATCCTCCTTCGTAAATGCGAGTCTAACTTCGCAAAGTGAAGCTCGCATTTGCGAATAGGTCTTTGCATTTGCGAGACCTGCAAACCAACTACACTATATTTTCTCAACAATTCCAAAATCATCCAAAACACATTTGAAACTCACCCGAGACCCTCAGGCTCTAATCCGAACATTCACACAAGTGTAGTAACATCATACAAACTCGCTCACTAACTCAAATCATTAAAATAACATCAAATATTAGGAATCGGTCATTAAAGCTCGAGATTTTCACCTTCAAAACTTATTTTTCCAACTTTTCACGTAATGCACCGAAACGGCTCGGGTCACCGGGGATCCCAATTAAAAATGCGTACAAATCCTAAAAAATCATAGAACCTACCAGAATCGTCAAAACACTGATCTAAGATCTTTTACCAAAAACGTTGATCGTGGTCAACTCTAGTCGTTTTTAAAGCGAATAATCACATCTTCTTTAAAATTTCACTTATAAGCTATCTGAAAATCGACACGGTCCACGCACGCAATTTATAAACCATCAAACTGAGCTATGCAAAGTCTCAAAACACAAAAAAAGGAACTAGTACTCAAAATGACTTATCGGGTCCTTACTGTCACACCCCGACCTCAGGGAGCGCGACCAGTGCTGAACCCAGATATCCCAATCAAGCAAGCCTACTTGATGCCTTCTACCCAACCTTACCCATGAATAATGTGAGGATGAATACCAAGAGTTAGACAAGCGAGAGAATAACATGTACAACACCAATTACATTACTTATAGAAACTTCACTTATGATTCCAAAATATTACATGTTCATAGTTTAAAAGTGGAAACATGTTTCATAGCTACAACATTTCTCGTTTGTTTTGCCCAAATCAAAATATAACCCATAACATTGTCTACGAAGCCTCTAAGGGAGCGTGAGTACATTATGAAGGTGCCAATGACAAGGCCCCGACGATACCTCAAAAGTAATGTACATGAAGACTATACAACCTATGGGCCCCGTATAGAATAGGGCTCACCCAGATCCGCTAAGTGGGGGGTATGCTGCTATTAAGGGTTAATGCCGCCTGTTGAGGAACCCCCTGCATCCATTAAAGATGCAGCACCCCCGACAAAAGGGACATTAGTACACATTGAATAGTACTAGTATGTAAAGCTAAATACCCTTTCATGGAATTCCAACATAAGGAGAGAAACATGGAAACAGTAAGTATACAATCATATTTAAATACCAAGTTAAAACAAAGTAGAACTTCAAGTAAAAAAATTCATTTTTGGTTGGGAGATCTTTTTTACCTACACACCACCATGCCCATGGCATGAAGTCCGATCATTACCCGATTGTCTAAGCCATCTCACCCCAAAATATGAGGATTGACATAGTAACACAACAACACCATGTCTGCAGCATGGCATATGATCTCCGGCCGATCGGCTAAGCCATATCACCACCATGTCGTGTGAATCGACATCGTCCTTAATTGCTATCAACTCATCCCAAACAAGGGGAATAATATCAATATAATATAATGGGAATTTGTCCCTCAATCAATCCCTACACCAGCACGTGTGGTTTCAGGCTTGGGCATTTATAACCCAGCCTTCCTCGGTGACCTAACGATACTCCCAATATTGTTTATCATGTAAAAGAATCATATTTGTTTCATAACCTTTCATACTTCTTTTCATTTCAGTGGCACTCTTGGCCACAAATGTAAATCATCATTCTTGGCACGAGGGATGCATTTTCATTGTTTACTTCCATTATTTCACTACCTTTCAAGGGTCATCTTAAAACATTTAAGGATATTTGAAACATTGAGAAAAATCATAACTTCAACTCATAAGCGAGTAAAAATTCAAAACACATTGGGAATAAGCACAAAAGAGGAGCATAGCATTTTGTAATTGGAACATGAACCAAATCATAAGCCTTTGGGCAAGCTAACCGTAGAAGCAGACTATAACCACAATTGAAGGTTACAAGAATTTCGACATATTTGATTCTACGGAAAGAGTTTAGCCAACATACCTTGATTGAGCTTTGCTTAGGATTACTACAACGATTCAAGACTCCTAGTGATTTCAATCTATAGAGACATAACAAAATTGAGCCATAGTTAGGAAGGTGCTCATAGGTTCAGCTCATCTAGGCATTTCATCAAACGCTAGGTGCAAATTCGAGTACAAGGTCCTACGGTGGTAATCCTTCACCCCACAACAAACTCTAACACCAATATCTCACCAATACTAGTTCCACAACCTCCCCACCACCTTCTTTGATACATGCATGCACAAATGACGAACTCTTATTCTCAAGAATCACACTTCCCACTACCTATATGCAGCCCAATTTCGAAATAGAGGGCTTAGGCTTTCGATCACCCTCCCATAAGCCTCAAAATAGGGAAATCCTACCCACAAATGCATGATAGGACATTGCATGAAAGCTTGGAACAAAGGCTTACCTTTTTAGCAGATGATTCGTGAGTTCTCCCCTTGAATTTCCAAAGCTAGATCAAAGAGTTAAAGTGTAGGAGTGTAAGCTTCACCTTCTCTCTCTAGCTAGCTCTCCCTTCTCTCTAAAATGCCATCAGATGCCTTCCAAAATGACCCCCAATGGCTTTTAATTAACATAGGGTCAGGTTAGAAAAATACACAAAATGGACCCTCCGAACCCAACCTGCAATTGTAGAATGCACCATAGAATAGGTCTCGCAGTTCGCTAAAGGGACAGCAAAATTATCCTCGAAAACTAGGCTGACCTAGCCAAGTCTGAGGCAGATCTACAGTTCGCAAATCACTTTTTCGACTGCAAAATGGACCACGAAACCTCCCTCAAGAAAATCCTCATGATGGTTCTGCGACGGAAGTGCGGCCTGCGAAACAATATATGTGGCTGCATAATTAAACGTGGAATAACCCTCAAAATTAAGCTTCACCCGGTTCACTCCGCGACGGTTCTGCGGTCCGCAAAACCAATCTATGTTCGCAAAATTGACCGCAGAAATGCACTTCTCAACAAATTTTTACTCCACCAACTCCTCGATGCATAGCTAGTCCAAAAAATCCATACCACGACAAGCTTTATCTACAACCCTCCAACCTCACAGGCATATTTTTACGGGGACTTACATCCTTCCCCGCTTAGGATTATTCATGCTCGAATGAGAAATTGAGTCCGTCCGAACACCCAACATGACTTAACTCTTCCCTCACACCTCAAGAGTTCCAAATTTGGCTAACTCCTAAATTTGCAAAAATTTCGGCACAGTTTCCCCTGTAATTGGGCGTATCCACCTGTCATAGAGCCCCAGAAACAAATCCTAACAACATATTCATAATCCAATGACATAACATTGCATGAAAACATAACCTCATAAGCATTATATTACCAAAAAGGAGCATCTTGACATAAATTATACAAGTTGAACAAAATTCATATAAAGTAAACTCCTAACAATATGGTTACATGAACAAGTGAGGGTATTTCTCCTTCATTTCTTCCTCAGCCTCCCATGTGGCCTCTTCAAATTGTTTGTTTCGTCATAGCCCTTTCACAGAGGCAATCTCTTTATTCCACAACTTCCAAACTTTTCTATCAAGAATGGCAACCGGAATCTCTTCGTAGGTCAACTCCTCATTAACCTCAAAAGCATCCACCTGAACAATGAGAGATGGATCTCCAACTACCTTCTTTAACATGGAAACATGAAACACTGGGTGTACTAAGGACATATCTTGAGGTATCTCGAGCTTATAGGCCACTTGACTAACTCTCTGCAAGATTCTTTACGGTCTGATATACTAAGGACATATCTTGAGGTAGCTCGAGCTTATAGGCCACTTGACCAACTCTCTACAAGATTCTTTACGATCTGATATACCTTAGATTCAATTGTCCCTTCTTCCCAAATCGCATTATTCCCTTCATGGGAGAAACTTTCAAGAATACCCAATCATCCTCTTTGAACTCCAAATCTCTGCGATTAACATCCGAATAGGAATTCTGGCGACTCTAAGCAGTTTTCAACCGTTCCTTAATGGTCTTGACCTTCTCCATAGCTTGATGCACAAGGTCTGGCCCTATCAATTCTACTTCCCCAACTTCAAACTACCCAATGGGATATCTACATCTCCTACTATATAGAGCCTCGAATGGTGTCATCCAAATGTTATCATGATAACTGTTGTAGGTAAATTTATGAGTGGCAAATGATTATCCCAACTACCCTTGAAGTCAAGAATACAAGCATGCTACATATCCTCAAGTGTCTGAATAGTCCGCTCTGCTGGCCCGTTTGTTTGTGGATGGAAAGCTATGCTAAGATTAACCTGAGTTCCCAAACCTTGCTTAAACTTCTACCAAAAGTTAGCGGTGAACTATGCCCCTCGATCTGCGATGATAGAAATTGGAGTGCCATGCAACCTGACTATTTCCTTGATATACAACTGAGCATAATATTCTGCTATGTCTGTAGCCTTGACAATCAAGAAGTGTGGTGATTTTGTAAGTTAATCCACAATCACCCAAATCGAATCAAACTTACAAGGCATACGCGGTAAACCTACTACAAAGACCATATTGATCATCTCCCACTTACACATTGGAATTTCCATATTCTGAACCAGGCCACCGGGTTTCTACTGCTCGGCCTTCACTTATTGACAGCTTGGGCATCTTGCCACATAGTTTGCCACATCCTTATTCATGTCATTCCACCAGTAGACTTCCTTGAGATCATGGTACATCTTGGTAGAGCGTAGGTGCATGGAATACTTGGAGCTGTGAGCCTCTGTCATGATTCTTTCCCGGAGACCATCCACATTCACAACACACAATCGTCCTTGGTACCTTAGGATACCATCATTCATGCCAAGAGAAAAAGTCGTGGTCTTAGGTTTATGAATCCCATCCTTCAACTACACCAATAACGAGCATCGTACTATTTCTCCTTGACTTCCACTACTAATAATAATTCAGCCCTATTCTGCATAATCACCCTACCTTCGCTAGAGTCCGCAAGCCGAACTCCCAAACTAGCCAACCGATGAATTTCCTTGGCTAACAACCTTTGATATGCCTCCAAGTGAGCCAAACTACCCATGGATTTTCAGCTAGAATAGCTACCGGCTCTTCTTCATAGGTCAAATTCTCATCAAGCTGCAAAGTGTTAAAGTCCAAAACATGCAACCTATCCTCATAGTACTTCCGAAGCATAGAAATGCGAAATACTGAATGTACCTCTGCTAGGATAGAAGGCAATGCAAGCCTATAAGCAACCTCCCCAACTCTTGCCAAGATCTCAAATGGGCCAATAAACCTCGGGCTCAACTTGCCCTCTTCCCAAATCTCATCACGCCCTTCATAGGTGTCACTCGGAGAAGAACCTTCTCACCTTCCATGTAAGCCACATCTCGAACCTTCCGGTCCGCATAACTCTTTTGTCTGGCCTGAGCTGTACAAAGCCACTCCCGAATCACTTTTACCTTTTCCAAGGCATCACGAACCAAATCTGTGCCGAACAATCTTGCCTCACCGGGCTCAAATCATCCTACCTGAGAACGACATCGCCTCCCATATCAGGTCTCGTAAGGAGCCATTCTAGACTGATAGTTGTTATTGTAGGCGAACTCCACTAGAGGTAGAAACTGGTCCCACCAACCCTCAAAATTCGTAGAGCATGCCTGCAACATGTCCTCCAAAACCTATATAATACGCTCAGACTGTCCATTTGTCTGAGGATGAAATACGGTACTCAACTCGACCCGTGTGCCCAATCCAGGTTGCACGGCTCTCCAAAAGTGTGATGTGAACTACCTGCCCTAGTCTAAAATGATAGAAATGGGCACACTGTGCAGGTGGATAATCTCCCGGATGTAATCTGAGGCAATCGCTCTGAAGAATATGATGCCATCACCAAAATGAAGTCTGCGGACTTTGTCAACTGGTCCACAATGACCAAACAGAATCATATTTCCTCAAGGTCCGTGGTAGGCCTACCACAAAGTCCATAGTGATGTGCTCCGACTTCCACTCTGGTATCACCAATCTCTGAGTTAACCCACCCGATTTCTGATGTTCATACTTCACTTATTGACAATTCAAAAACCGAGAGACATGTCAAACAAAGTCTTTCTTCATCTTCCGCAACCAATAGTGCTATTTCAAGTCACAATACATCTTCGTGACACCTAGATGAATGGAATACCATAAACTATGAGCCACCTCGAGGATCAACTCTCTCAACCCATCAACATTAGGAACACAAATTTGGCCCTGAAGCCGCATAACACCATCATCTCTAATCAAAACCTCCTTGACACCACCCCGCTGCATTGTGTCTTTCAACACCAACAAGTAAGGATCATCAAATTGGCGAGCCTTGATGCGCTCCAAAAATGAGGACTATGCCACAACACAAGCAAAAACCCGGCTAGGCTCTGAAACTTCCAACCTCACGAACCGGTTGGCCAAAGCCTTAACATCCATGGCTAATGGCCTCTCCGTTGTCGGTTAAAATGCCAAACTACCAATGCTCTTCGCCTTCCTAATCAAGGCAGTGGCCACTATATTGGCCTTCCTTGGATAATATAATATGGTGATATCATAGTATTTTAGTAACTTTAACCATCTCTGATTCCACAAATTAAGATCCTTCTTCTTGAATAGATGCTGGAGACTCTGATGGTTGGTATAGACCCTTGCATAGAACGTCGTATGGATAGTGCCTCCAAATCTTGAGCGCGTGAATAATGGCTGCTAACTCCAAATCATGCACAGGTTAATTCTTCTCATGAAACTTCAACTGACGAGACTCGTAGGCAATCACCCTACAATCTTGCATCAACAGCGCGCCAAGTCCAATACGTGATGCCTCACAATACACAACATAAGATCCTGAACCTAAGGGCAATACCATACTCAGGTTGTAGTCAAGGATGTATTGAGCTTCAGAAAGCTCGCCTCAAACTCATTGGACCATCTGGAAAGAGCACCTTTCTAGGTCAACTTGGTCAACAGGGTTGAGATTGAGGAAAACCCCTCCATGAACCAGCGATAGTAACCAGCCAAACCCAAGAAGCTTTGAATCTCTATGACTGAAATAAGTATAGGCCAGTTCTGAATTACCTCAATCTTCTTAGGATCTACCTTGATACCCTCGGATGACACCACATGCCCTTAAAAGGAAACTAAGTCTAACCAGAACTCACACTTTGAAAACTTGGCATATAGTTGATGATCCTTCAATGTTTGAAGTATAATTCGGAGGTGCTGCTCATGCTCCTCTCTACAGCGGGAGTAAACCAGAATATCATCAATGAAGACAATCACAAAGGAATCCAAATAAGGCTTGAACAATCGATTCATAAAATCCATGAAGGCTACTTGAGCATTAGTCAAGCCAAATGAAATCACCAAGAACTCGTAGTGACCATATCGAGTCCTAAAAGTTGTCTTAGGAACATCTGATGCCTTAATCTTCACCTGATGGTATCCAGATCTCAAATCAATCTTGGAAAACACCTTAGCACCCTGAAGTTGCTCAAATAAGTCATCAATCCTCAATAAAGGATACTAGTTCTTGATAGTGACCTTCTTTAGCTGTCGATAATCTATGCACATCCTCATCGATCCATCTTTTTTCTTAACAAACAACACCATCATGCTCCAAGGTGAGACAATCGGTCTAATGAATCCATTGTCAAGCAAATCTTGCAACTGATCCTTCAATTCTTTCAACTCAGTTGGAGCCATGCAGTACAATGGAATAGAAATAGGCTGAGTCCCCAAAACCGAATCAATGCAAAAGTCAATATCCAGTTAGGTGGCATACCCAGCAAGTTTGTAAGAAACACCTTAGGAAACTGAGCCACAACGGTGCCGAATCCATAGAAGGAACCTCCGCTCTAGAACCATGGGTATAAGCCAAATATGCCAGACACCCCTTCTCAACCATACGTTGAGCCTTATAATATGAAACCATCGTGATAGTGGAGTGACCATGGGTCCTTCTCCACTCTAATCTAGGTAACCCCGACATAGCCAAAGTCACAATCTGCATGACAATCCAAGATAGCGTTTTATAGGGACAACCAATCCATACCAAGAATGAACTCAAAATCTACCATATTCAACAACAAAAGATCAACTACAGCATCAAAACTATTAATAGTAACAACACAAGACCTGTACACATGATAAACTACTATAGAGTATCTAACCGAAATAGGAACATCAAGAGAATCATGAGGCATACTCAAATGCGAAGCAAAATATGAAGGCACATCACAATATGTAGAGCCCGGATCAAACAACACGGAAGCATCTCTACGACAGACTAATATAATACCTGTAATTGCATCGAATGACTCCGCCTCAGGTCTAGCTAGAGATGCATAACAATGGGGCTGAGCCCCACAAACATGTCCTCCACCTTTGGGATGACCTCTCACTGATTGGCCTCCACCTCTGACTGACTAGCTTCCAACTCGGGCTACTTGACCCCCGCCTCTTATTGGCTGTGCGAATGGTGGAGCCATCGGTGCAAGAACTATGGCACGAGTACCTTGTTGTGGCATACTGCACTGTGACCTGGGGAAAGGTTTCTCGGCGTGACTTAGATCCCATGTATATAACAATCCCTCGGCTGACATGACTTTTGACCCTAGAACTGACATTGCTGACCTAAATAACCACCCTAATAACTTTGTATCAGAGGTGCACTGACTGGCGCTAGAGGTGCGCCGTAAGCTAGTTGCTCGTCACAAGGACCATAAGTATTGTGGCTGCCTGAAGTACCATGGGTAACATGTATAGCTGACTGAAATGGCTTGATAGGATGGCCTATACCAAAAGAACTCCTGCCTCCACACGAGGCACCACTAAATCCTCAAAAATGACGGGGCCTCTTGTTAGAGGTCATCTCCCTAGCCCGGTCTCTAATCTGATCGATCCTCCTGGCGATCTTCACTACCCGATTAAAGAAATCTCATACTCAGTCACTCTGGCCATCTGAAGTCTGATTCAATATTTAAGGCCATCTATGAACCTCCGCACCTTCTCCATATGAGTAGGGGTCAAGATAGTTGCATGGCGAGACAAATCCACAAATCTAGTCTTATACTGAGTAATTATCATGCTACCCTACTGAAGGCGCTTGAACTGACTGCAGATTTTCTCTCTCTGATAGAAGTGAATAAGCATTTGCAAGAACAACACTAAGAAACTAAGCTCATGTGAGAGGAGGTGAACTTTCTAGCTTGCCCTATACATACACCTGCCACCACCTCTTGGCAAAACCATGTATCTGAAATACCGTGAAATCAACTTTGTTGGACTCCACTATACCCATGTTGTGCAAAATATCATGAAACAGTCTAGAAAGTCCTGTAGGTCCTCAGAAGGTGTACCACTAAAGTGAGTGGGAAACAACTTGGTGAACCTCTCAACCTCTTCAACTCATCATCTAACATAGCGGGTCTCTCCCCAGGCTTTGTAGCAACAACAGGCTGAACCACCCTAAATAGTAGGACTGCTTGGGTATGATAACCATTATCCATCTGCTCTGGAGTATGAGTAGTGGGAGTCTGGGCTCTTCCCCCAGAGAAATGGTTGGTGCCACAGGAAATGCGCCGGCCTAGCCATACTCTCCATCAAGCCAACCATGCGAGCTAAGGCATACTGAAGCACTGGGTAGCAATGAACCCCTATGGGACCTGAGCTAGTCCTACTGGCTCGGTTTGAATAGGGATCGTATCATCCTGCTCTATCTGAGGCTCGACAATGGGTGTATCTGAGCGTCCTCTAGGATGAGCTCTCCCTCTACCTCTGGATCTGGTTCTACCTCGACCTCGGTCCCTACCCCTTGTATTGGCTGCAATCTTGGATACGACTGCTGATCCATTGTGGATAACATAGGCGTCCTCACCATCTGTGAGAGAAGAAGAGAAGAAAGATTCAAACTTAATGATTGAACAAAGTCGCACAATAGAGAAAGAAAGTAAGTAAAGTTTCCTAAAGCCTTATAGCCTCGAGAAGATGAGTACAGACGTCTCCGTACAGATCCTCAAGACTCTAATAAGCTTGCTCATGACTCATGGGACCTATGCAACCTAGTGCTTTGATACCAACTTGTCACGAACTAAGATCCCAACCAATTGTGGACGCGATGGCGCCTATCACCTCTTGATAGGAAAGACAACACACAACAAATAAATATGAGGAACTGCGATAAATGACAGACAATAGAATAATAACATAGCATAAAAGCAACTTTGAGATAAACATAATAAGTTCTAAAACCAATATCTAACGCAGACCATCCCAAGATGTGGAGTCACAAGTACATGAGCCTCTAGAGTTTGCTACATACACTACTTTGAAAGAAAATATAACACTTTTCGAAGAATGGAAATAAGAAGACGAATCAGGGCATGCAGATGGAATACAGCTCTACCTTCAATCACCTATTTGGTATCCACTAAGCACCTCTCGAGACTACACTGGTACTAATATCCGGATATGCACAAGAAGCGCAGAAGGGTAGTATGAGTAGAACCGACCTAATGTACTCAGTATGTGTCGAGACTAAACTCGACGAGGTAGTAATGAGGCTAAGACAAGACACCTACAATAAACATGTGCATTTATATATCAAGAAGTAATGAAATAACATGTAAAGTGTCGAGTATAAAGATGGGATAACCAACAAGTATTGGGATAACAAGTACATAATTAAAGGGGCTTAAAGTGGAAACATAAACTAAAGAGACAACAACTCCATGTCAATTTGATGGGAATTGGACGCTTGGTTGAGCTTCTGGAAATTCTTGAGTTCATTGTGATTTTGATGCATTTTAGTGATCGATTCATGGTTTAGGACGTTATATTATTGTTTTGAGCTCGCGAGCGTGTTTGTATGTGTGTTCTAGACTTATGTGGGTGTTTGGTGTGGATCCCCTAGGGCTCGAGTAAGTTTCAGACGCGTTTCATATGGTTTTGTTGAGTATTGGAATTCTAGTGTAGAAAACTCGCATTTGTGAGATTCTACACGCATTTGCGAGGTGGAATCACAATTGCAACGACTAGGTATTCTGGCCATGTTCGAATTTGTGATGAGGGTTCTGCAAATGCGAAGCTCGAGTGGAATTTGCGACATTGGCTGGGTAGTGGGCAGTTCGCATTTGTGAGCTCATTGTCGCGTTTGCGACTATATTTGAGACAGCCTTGCTTCGCATTTGCGATCCTAAGGTCGCTTTTGCGATAGTCGCATTTGCGAACCTCTGGTCGCAAATGCGACATCTGCAGCTTATCATATAGCTGGGATTTCGGGACTTAGTCTCATTTTATCATATTTTGCACCCTAGACTCAGTGGGAGGCGATTTTTGGAGGAGATTTCCACACATAGCTATTGGTTAAGTGATTTTGACTCAAATTTGATATTATAACTTGATTTCTTACAAATTTTAACATCCAAATCATGAAATTTGAAGGGAAGTTTTGGGATTTTTGACTATGTTTTGAAAAATAAAAATTTGAGATTTGAGACTCAAATTGGAATCGGGTTTGAAAACTAATCATATATTTGGACTTGTGCGGTTATGGATAGTCGAGATCTACCCCTCAGCTCGGGTTTTGACCGGGCGGGCTTGGAGTTGACATTTGTTCACTTTTTAGGAGTTCTGTAAAGATCTCAACCTTATTTATCGAAATTGAATTCTTTTGCATTTTTTGATATTATTAAGATTTTTGGCTAGATTTAAGCCGAGCAGTGGTGATTCTAAATGAAAGGCTATTTTTGAGTATTAATTTGGCTTGTTTGAGGTAAGCGTCTTGCCTAGCTTTGGTTGAGGCAATTTTTTTACTAATTTATATTGTTTGCTACATGCGGGAGTGATGTATATATGAGATGACGAGTTTATACATGTGCTATGGGTATTCATGCTCAAGGTAGATTCTAGATTACTCTATGCCTTATTTGGTTGTGTGTTTAACTTGATTCCATGTATAATTAAATTAATTGACTTCATGAGTACTATAAACCATACTAGAGAAATTTGGAAGCTATTGGTATCTCATGTTGAACATGATCAGCAAATCTTGAGACTTATGCTATATTTGCCTCGAGGATAAATACAAGTAGGTTATGAACAGACATCCGGACTTGGTCTTGTAATGTGCCTTCATTGGAACGTATACACTCGATTATAGTTATGTGATTCTTTGTACAACTACTTGAACTTGGTTGTTATACTTGATTTAACCATGGTCATGCTTTATCCGCACTTTTGTTGTTATCATGTTCTCGTGCGCTTTATTGATGAGTAATGAGAATTTGACTCTTGATGATAAATTGTATCTTGCATCTATTTGATAATTGTGGCACATGTGGACATGTTATGCGAATTGATTGTAGATGCGTATGCAGCAACATACAGAGGCATTGTCACACCTCCTTTTTCCCACTTACACCCTGTAAAGAGGGTATAATAAAGGAGTTTTTCCAATTAAAGGAAAATCGAAACGGGATTTATTTTAATTAAAAGATTCAGAGTCGCCACTTGAGAGATTTATGGTGTCCCAAGTCACCGGTTCAAATCCCGAATCGAGGAAAAGGTTGACTCTGTATTACAGTCCGCGAACCAGAAATCTGGGTAAGGAATTCTGTTAACCCGGGAGAAGGTGTTAGGCACTCCCGAGTTCCGTGGTTCTAGCACGGTCGCTCAACTGCTATAAGTGGCATAATATCTGATTTTAGAACATTTTGAAACCTATGTGCATTTTAACTTCAAAACCGCTTTTACTTATTTTAAAGAAGATTTAACATCGTCTAAAGCATATCTTTGGACCGCGTCACATGAAATGCACCCGCAATCCGAAACACATTTTATCCAACGTTATAAGATTTAGATTTGGGTCACATGAAATGCACACCCGAGTTTAGGAAGGTAGTATTATTAAAACAACGCGCCTAAAGCAACTACGCATTCTTAACTTTGCGAGGGCCATGGAAATTTGCTAAATGGCACGCCTCGAATTCTAAGGATTTTAAAAGAAATAGTTAAATGAGGGCCACACATTTGAGATTTTATTTGGCATGGCACACCTCGACTTGTTTTTAAAAAGGTTTGTACTCAACTAAAGCAAACTATAGATATTCAAGAATGGTGATCAATTTCCTTAAAACTTAAATGAAAGCATGAACTCCCTACACGTCTACACACAAAACACAGTAGTACATTATTACTTGATTCAAAATTCAATAGAGCTAACACAAAGCATGCAACAGTAAGCTTAGCAATATCAACAGAAGAGTTACATGGCCGGAATTGAGTGTAAATTGCAGCTCTTTTAAACAAATTGATAATCTAGAACTAAAGAGAATGACAAAAGATCTTTTGAACTTGAATAGGCAGGGATTAACTTAAAAAGGAATTAACTAATGTTGTCACTGACCAAACAGGAGGAAAACACACACTTCCTATCTTTACCAACCTTAGCGCAACAGTGCAGATTTCAACTCCATTCATACTTAGCCAAAGATGATCGATCACCCATACATAGAGAATCCCAAACAATATTTTCAGCCTTTCATGCTTGAACATAAAGAAGTCATCAGGTTATGAGCAGCAGGTTAGTTGACGATACAACTCAACACACACCAATTCTAACAAGCCATTCAAATGTGATCCTTAATCAACGTAGTAACAAGACTAACATGTTCACTTGAAAGCCAACAACTTTTATCACTAACTCAGCTAAACCGAACAAGAGAATTTGAACTTGAATTATCACTTCCTATTAAATGCGAATGGGCTACCTCTCTTTGAATGAAAAATCCTTTTCACAGTCAATTTAAAAAAAACTTTCAGTACTCTCACATGGTATGAGCTCAACAACAGAGCCTGAGAAGGTGTTTTAGCTACCAGAGTAGTCCAACAGAACATTCAATCCTTCAATTTTGAAACATGATCTTTGTAAACATGAACAATAACTACACTCAAACTAAATGCATATCAAGTCACAAGTCCAAAATCAGATCAATAGAGACAAATGGATCTGAATACTAGCCATCCGAATGCAATTCAGCCCGATATTGAGCAACAACCATAGGCATTCCAATTTTTATCAACTATTCATGTTCAGGTTCAATTATGCCAGCAAAACAATCTCTAAAATCAAAAGCAAGAAATCAGTTGTTTAAACCTTAGCCATGGTTGATCTTTTAATCAGCAGACGAAATAAAGGATAAGATGCTGTGTGTTCTCAAATAGAACTGATAGAGTGAACCAACAACTCCAACTTCATATACTTGAATTAACACTTCGCGATATTATACTGACCAAGGACAATAGCTCAAACACCAACAGCTACAACAAACTGGAGGCAGAATGCTTAAGAAAATGTCAACATAACAACCATTTAGCATTCTAACATAAATATCATATGCTTTCTTGAGACAATGAACATGCGTCGATCCACACAACAGCTTACAGCAAACAGAACGAAAATAGATGCCTGAATCTGAATTTCAGCAAGTTAAACAGAGGCAGCTATGAT